GAGAAAATGAACACAGAAGCACTTTACCTTCCCCATCATGCTGATCTAGTCTCCCTTTACTCAGCTTTTCCCTTCCCATCACTATTCTCAAAACTCTACTGCAGGTTGACCTTATGACCATGTATAATGAACTTTTATTCAGCTAGTTCCAGTGTCACCATTAAGAATCACTCAACAGATGTTGAAGCTCTTTTTGATTATTTCTGATGAATACAGCCACCATTTACATTTTAGCTTAATCATAGCTCTGTAACATTTAGAGAGCTGGTAAAACTTAGTAAAGCCAGAGAGCATAAATTTATGCATGAACTTGCTCTTCCACAATCTGGTCAAGCCTCAAACATGAATCACTCACACAGGAAGCAATGGCACTGTCATTTCATTGTTCTTGTTTTTTCTTGCATAAATCTCATCTTTATAAAAGATATGAGACTGGTGAGTCTGACTTTTTTTTTTTTTTTTTTTTTTATTCTCTTTCCTGGGTCCCAGTATCTGCACTGGAAAGACATCTCCATTGAAAGGAACAGAGAGCAATTTTTAAGTATATTTAGTGTAAGAATGCAAACAGGATAGGGTCAATGAATGGCACTATGATGTAAAGGGCCACCAAAAATTATTACATAAGAATGTCTTGACCATAAGTTGAAAAGTTTTCTATTATCCTCTACCATCCTCTGCATAAGTTGCTCTGTCCTTGTAGGCTTAAATTTTAATAAATACCCTCCTGGTCATTTTTAAAAAAAATCCAAGACTACAGTGCATGCCAGCTTCCAGTTAAGAGCTTTCACAATTTCTTTCCTCTTAAAAAATAGTCCCACAGGGGCACCTGGGTGGCTCAGTCAGTTAAGCATCTGCCTTCGGCTCAGGTCATGACCCCAGGGTCCTGGGATCGAGCCCTGCACTGGGCTCCCTGCTCAGTGGGGAGCCGGCTTCTCCCTTCTCCCTCTCCTTCCTGCTCATGCTCTCTCTCTCTCTCTCAAATACATAAATAAAATCTTTTTTTTAAAAAAAAAACCCTTACGAAACAAAACAAAAAAAGGCATTAAAAATGTTTTAATACACCAGACCTCACTACCGAAACATCATATTGTTATCTTTCCAGCTTTTCCTATCACATTTTTATTACTCTTATAATCAGAAGGAAAATATTGTAAGTTTTCATCCAAGTAGAAACTGAAAGTTTTTGTCAGTACAACATCCTATATGAGGAAAGAACACTGGGGACCTTGTCTTGGCTCTGGTGCTAAGCTACTCATTTGACATTGGGTAAGCAAGTTAACCTCTCTGGGATGCCTGACAAATGTGGAAGTAGATGATCTCAAGTATAAAGGGTCTCTCCTCCCTACTCAAACAATCTACGATTATGAGACATGAGTTTTCAAAACTTTCCACAGGTCATCTAGACCAAGGACTGTGGCAGCCTGGTTTTTAGAGCTCTCTGAATTCCCACATAAAAACAGAGCACCTTACTCAACAGAACCAAATGCTCGGAGACAAGGTATCCTCTTGAACAGCAAAATACAAGGACAAACACACACCATCCACAAGCCCGAAAGGGTGTCTGAATGGGCAGAAGCAGTGGAAAGCAGCAAGGCTGGTGGACGTGAGAACTGGAAAACCCCAACATAAACAGTCAGTATAGGGCACCTGGGTGGCTCAGTCATTGAGCGTCTGCCTTCGGCTAGGGTCATGATCCCAGGGTCCTGGGATCGAGTCCCGCATCGGGCTCCCTGCTCCGCGGGAAGCCTGCTTCTCCCTCTCCCACTCCCCCTGCTTGTGTTCCTGCTCTCGCTGTCTCTCTGTCAAATGGATAAATAAAATCTTTAAAAAAAAAAAAAATCTACCTCCACCTCTTCTTTAAAAAGAAAAAAACAAAAAACAGTATATACAGGAAAGTGAGGAGGGCCCACTGGAAAAGAGAGGCTAACACTAAGAGGGATTCTGCCTGAGCCGAGAGTAAATGAGGAAGGGGCCCACAGTAAGATCTGAAAGAGCTAAAGCAGCTAGTCCCTGGGAACTCTCAAGATTGGCCCCAGGACTTGCTTCCAGGAGGAAAACCTGCTGACAGTGGGATCAGGATTGAACAGTATGGAGTAACAGAAACAAAGGAAGAAATAGATCCAGATAGAAGTAGGTGAGGGGAACAGAGCCAGGGTGTGTCAGAAAGCAGGCTGCCATATTTTTGACGAAGTGAAAACAAGAGAAGACTAAGCTTTATGAACTTATAAAGCCATCTTAAACCCTGCCTCCTCAAAGTTCAAGGCAACTATTTTTCATATAAAAATGAAAAATGGAGAAGTACTGACATCAAATTCCATGCAAAGCTATAAGAAGGAAGAAAAAAAGAGAATATATGCCTATATACCATGAAAGCATAGCACAAAATGGAACATCCCTCCCCCCAAAAATCCCAAACAAAGCCCACTATTTCAAAATAAGTTAAAAGACTTTGGAGATAAAATGACATAAGACATGAAAAAACATAATTCAGAATTAGAAAATTCATACGGTAACAGAACACAGGAAGAAACTAGAAATAAAATAAAAACTCATTTCAGGAATACAAACTAAACTAGAAGGCACACGAGAAGAAATAAACCCAACATATAATGCCCTGAAAGGAACAGAAGATGAACAACAGGAAAATCAAGTAAAAAAGGAGAGACAAGATGTGGGTAGTGAGATACTGAAAACAGGCAAAAAAAGATCTAACATACAAAGAATAAACATCCTTGAAGAAGAAAATCAAAGCAAGAGAACTAATATTAAACATTAATTTTTTACAACTTCCCTGAAATTAAAAGATTAAAAGAGATAATCAAAAGAATACCCAGCAAACCTCAGACTATCAAACCAGAATGACTAAGATTAAGAGTTACTCTAGGAGGGGCTCCTGGCCGGCTCAGGCCCACGCTCAGGAGCGTGCGATTCTTGATCTCGGGGTTGTGAGTTTCAGCCCCACGCTGGGTGTAGAAATTACTTAAAAATAAAAACTTAAAAAAAAAAAAAGTTGCTCTAGAATTACTAGACTTAAAAAAAAGAAATAAAGAAAAAACATGCCGTGGACATCTAGAGTCAACGTCCTGTGAGGCAAAGAAAGCTGTATGATCAGACTTTGGGGACCACACTCTATGCCAAAAGAGAATAAGGAAACGTATTCAAGTAAAGAGGGGCCAAGGGCTTTCTATCCAGCAGAAATGTCTTTCAAGTACGAAGGGCACAGAACAGACATACTGTTAATAACGAGCAAGAACCTGGTGAAGATTATTCCGAGTCCTCCCTGAGGAATCTACTAGAAAATCCACTCCAGGCAATAAACGAACAAATAAACGGAGGAACACGGACATAAGGACTGTGGTGAACACTAACTATATCGTTACTTATAGAAGCCTAAATGAGGACGAGAAGGGGAGAGGGCAGGATGCAATGGCCAGATGGTCAGGCAGGTGGATATAAGACAGCTGCAAAAAATGGGGAGTGAAGAGAGCGTAATGCAACAACAACAACAAATTACCTTCTTCTCAGGAACCGCATCTGTTATGGCAGGAGTAATATTACTCTGAGGCTGTTCATAATATGGAATGAAGCAAGTAAGTAATTATGGAATATTCTAATTCAATCATCCTCGGTAGCATTAAGAACCACGACTCTTTGTGTGAAAGAAAGGCAATACAGATAAAATATAGAAGAAGCTAGGTAAAAAGTCTGCTGTAGTCTGAATTTAAATTGGGTCTATTAGTATGAACTCCTAAGGTATTTTATCTTAAAAATTATATGTACATGCAGAGGTAGATAAATAAGGAAATAAAGAATTTCCTGGCTACGTCTATAAAAGAGGCCTGAAAAAAAATGACCAACCTAGAAGCCATAAGCACTCTTGGCACCCAGATTGTGGTCTTAAGATATTATTTTCTGCTGAGAGAAGTAAGAGTTACTCAGAGAGCAGTTACTGCCAGATTTGGGGCAAAAAATATACTAGTTGAGTCTGGACTAACTCCTGGGCTCATGTCAAAAGACTCAGAAGCCAACCTGAAGAAGTTCACTTTGGCCAAAGATAATACGAGTTTCTGTAAGGAAAATAGTTACAGTGGAATGAAACCCCAAATATATTTAAATCTGTAATTTCATAATAATAGTTCAAAAAAATTATTGGGCAATTTCAGAGGATCATAGGTAATTTTCTTGAAAAATGTTAATAGATGAAGAATTCTGCTTTTCCTTGACGAACCACTGTTTCAACAAATCACAGATGATGGGAGAGGTCTCTACAAAAGCATTCCAATTAATGAGAAATGGTACAACGGCAATATCATCATTTGTAAGTCCTAATAAGTCAGTGAATCAATGAATATAGGCACTGAGTATCAACAGCTGCTAACATCACAGAAAATGAGACAACCAGACATTATGTGCCTCCTGGTAAAACAACAAATCCCCTCTACAGTCTTACCAAAGGGGCCAGACATGAATTGACTGAGCCTCTGGGTGGTCCACCTGCCATTTTACAGGAACTAAAGGGGACGGAGGAAAGTGGTCAGCTGTACGGTGAGTGTATAATCAGCAACATCCAGACTGTAGGGAACTCCACAAGTCAAATGGCAGGTTTCTAACAGATTAATTAAAAAGCAAACAAAGAATGGAAGCAAAACCTATAAATTAAGAGATTCAAAGGAAACCCAAAGTGTTTCAATGAGCAAGACTAAACTCCACTATCAAGGGACATCTAAACTTCAGTGATAAAGTGTAAAGAGACAGGAAAAAGGACTAGAGGAGTCACGGTGGTGGTCACCTTGGTGGGAGGGAGGGTGCGACGGGGACGGGACATAGGAGGGACCTCTGGGATGGCTGGCAAGTCCTATTTCCTGACCTGGACGGTGCTTATGAGAATGTTTGCTCATTACCCCGTAACTTGATTGGCCGGAATTCCTCGATCTATGTTTTATCTTAAAATAAAAAATACAAGAGTTAAAAAAAAAAACAAAACTCCCCAGATCCCTTACCTGCGCCTTGGCTAATTTCTTTTCCAGAAGGTCTCGTTCCCGCTCCGTTTGCTGCAGACGTTTATTAAGTTCCACTATATCTCCCTTGAGTGATGCCAGGGCTGCCAAGTGGAGCTGTGGCAACAGAAAGAAAGGAGCGCAAGGTTAGATCCTTTGGCAGAAACTCGTTCCTTCCCTGTAATTAGTGTGATCATATAAAAAAACAAAACGCCTCATCTCCAAGGGGTGCTATTAAATCAGGTGTCGGACAGGCAAGCCGGGTTATGTGGTCACAGGGAGAAAACTCACGTGTGGGCAGCAGGACCTAATTTCGGTGGTCACATCAGGATAGAGAGCAAAGCCCCCCACTCTAAGGCCTTTCCCTCGGTTACTCAGCAAGGATGAGATTAATTGCAGGTGTGGGGCCGTGGGATTCTCAACCCGAGCAGCAAGGAAGGAGAACCACATCAGCTTTGACCTTTGGCACATATGAAAGTTGGATAGGGCAATTCTATCACCCATCCTGCTATGTGTACAGACAGACCATGGGGCCTAGGATTAAGAAAAACTGGGAGAGCTCATTTTTCTTTTTTTTCAGATGGTCTCCCCTTAAAGTTGGTCCTTTATTTCCTTGCCAGCTCATCTTTCCTCATTGTCCCCCAGACAGACTAGATTGCCCAGATGCTGCTTCTGGGCTAGCAGGCCGACTCGCAGGAACAGAACCAGAACTCTGATAAATGATGCTAGGAAAAGACACACCAAGAATCCCTCCAGATCTCTTTCCCCAGCCAACTCCCTCAGGTTATCTGGAGCTACAAGGAATGTTCTTTAACACATTAACAAGGGGTACCCTGCACCTCCAGGATCTCAACGTGCTCAACTTCCGAGCCTAAACCCTGAGCTTCGGCGGCACCAAAGCTACGCCATGTGCCTTTTGTGGCTTTTCAGGCCAATGGGTGGAGCTCAACACCGAGGTCCGAGAGCAGCACCCTTCAACCTTCTTTGCCCTCTGAGTCACTGCTTCTCATCTGTCTTCACTGTCAGCTCCAGGGGGAGTGCAGACCATTCCCTAGCCGAATGCCACACTACATTTGGGGGGAGTGACTAGAATCAGAACAGACCCTCCCTCCTGAGAGGTTTTTAGTAGCTTCTGCCAAGAGGGGTTAAAATAAGGAGTGAGCAAATAAACATGATCTTTAAAGATGGACATGGTACGACGGTCCACAGTTCAACTTTGAAGATTTTAATTGCAGGTTTAGAAAATGCCATGTGGGCCGGTAGGCTTGTTGGGGTGTGAGGGGAAGGAGGAGATACAGGGCAGGGTCTGGGCTTTCAAAGCAGTTGTTTATGTTAGACTATAACAGCAGCGACTATTCGCTTACTTGCATCAGGGCTACAACCAACAGATCAATAGTCGATCTGAAATCAGGAATGCCTGAAATTTAAAAACGGAAATGTCAGGCAATCTGGCGGTGTTTGCCTTCTCATGTAGGGGTAGGACTGCTCGGAAAAGGTCACTTTGGGTTTCAGACACAAGGTTTTGTGTGATGAAGTCTCAGCACAAATACCACAGTGTTCCCATTGTACAATCTTTTTGAGGCCGTTCTGCTTCCAATAGGGCGGAGAGGGACACAAATTCACTCCCTCCTTAGACGGCTGGGTACCCACCCGCCTCCGCCTCTGAACTGTCCATCTGCAGATTCTCCTTCAGTGTCAGACATTGTGGTCTGTTGGACATTATGTTAAGTCTTGAGAGAGGCTTTACCACCTCTCCTCTGGCAGGAAGGATAAAATACATATAGAGATGAAATGTTCCTTAAGAAATATAGGAGTAGAAACTAAGATCCCAACTCTAAGCTCAGATATGCTTCCTCTCTCCTATATCTCCCTCCTACTTCTGGGGAGAAGGACTACCTGAAGGACTTGGGGGACAATTAGGAAGGCAAAGCTGACAGAGGAAGCTCTAAACTTCATGTTAACATCATAAACTGGGCCAGATGAGGGAACACGTAGAGTAGTACATGGCAGAGAGGGTCCAGGATGGATCATCCCTACCAGGAAGAGGACCCCGCTTGGAACAGATAACACCTTTGGGTCTTCCAGATTGCCAGAAGATGCATAGGATGTGCATTTGGGGCAAATCTCTTCGCTTTCCTGGATGGAAGATGCCTGTCCACAAAATGAGAATAGACCAGTTGTTCTTCACCTTCCCTGGGTCACAAATCCCTTAAGAATCCATGCAGGCGATGGACCCTTCTCCTAGAGAAGAGTAAAGATTTGGGGGTTTATGCATGTATTCCATCTAGTTATAGTGATGACGCATTCTGGAACCTTTCCATGAACTCCAAATTAAGAAACCACAGAGGCCACATAAGTTTTGTAGACTCTCTTGTGGGTCATAATCATAGTTGTTTGAGTGGGGAAAGGGCCCTGGGTACTTGACATCTCCCATTCCCCATTTGCAGGTAGGACCTGAAACCCAGAGATTGACTTGCTCACTCAAGCTCCCATGGGTAGCTCAGCACTAGCACCAAGGCCACCACTGCCCTTTCCCCACTGTATGACGTTGTGACAGTAATTCTCAATTTTGTATGAAATTTTTACTGAAAATATTTCCCTCTGATTGCAGAAGAAATAAAAATGTAACAGAAAACTAAATCAGAAAGAGAGCATCCTAACATTTTAGTGGTGGCCTCTGGATGGTTTCAAATTTCTGGGGGGACATTTTGAGTAACTTTTTAAAAAAGTTTTTTGTTCAATATATTTTTAAGTGTTTTTTTTTAAAGACGCTTTTTATTAAAGAAACAAAAGAGTTGTGACTCTATTTTCTGTATATGTAGAGCTGTAGCATAAAAACTGGTTCTTTCCCTTCCTTGCTGCATGCATCTTCCCCCCCCCGACCCCCCCCCACCCCCGTCTACCAGCTCTTCTGATAGAAGATAAAACTTTAAAGAAAGGGGGGAGGGTAGGATATACACGTTCCCGAATGTTGCTGACAGTTACTCAGCAGAAACTAACATCAGAGGGCGGGAGGTAGAGTGGGCAAAGCAGGCAAGTCACAAGACGTGTTGCTTAGGAGGGGGCTGACGGCACCCCCTTACTACCTGATGACTGAGCACGAGGTGCGCTAAGTTCTCACCACAAGAAGTTCCCCCCATTAAGAATCCAGTAATCAGAGTAGCTTGACATCCCTTCTTTGTGGGCTTCCTCCCCCTCATTCTGGCAGACCTGCTGGTAGCCCTGGGAATTCAAAGCCTGGGGAGTGTGAGAGCAATGCTCCAAGTATTAGGACACAACCTGGGCCCTGTCAAGGCAAGTACTAAACACTAAGAAGGATAGGGGTCTCCGGGGGAAATTTTTAAGAGGAGTAACAGTGGGCTTAAATCCTGGAAAGACAACTTTACCAAAGCAACCGAAACTGTTAAATATATATAATAGGAAAATTATATGTATACCCTTTTTGGGGCTCTCTTTACTTATTTTCTGGTTTTGGAAATGGCCTCTAATTTGAGTCAGAGCTTCAGACACATGACCCATAAAGAACCATTAAAAGAAGATGTTTCACTCACCAAAGAGAACAAATATATACAATGTTTGGAGTCTGTGCCAGTGTCCTTTCTCTTTTCTTTCTTTTTTAAGATTTTATTTAGTTGACAGAGAGAGAGCACAAGCAGGGGGAGCGTCAGGCAGAGGGAGAGAGAGAAGCAGGCTCCCCACTGAGCAGGGAGCCCCATGCGGGACTCAATCCCAGGACCCCAGGATCATGACCTGAGCCAAAGGCAGACGCTTAACTGACTGAGCCACCCAGTCTCCCCTCCAACTCATTTTTCTCTCCTGCTCCACAACAAGACCCCAACTTTTAGCTGGTCATATTATTGCTGCTCAGCTAAATTATCCCAGTTCCTAGCTCTCCCTCTGCAGGTGGAGGTGGGTGTAGTTATGTGACCAAGTTCTGGCCAATGAGTTGTAAGTAGAAATATTATGGGAGATTTCTAGAAAAAATCTGAGAGAAGCCATACCCTTTTTCTCTTCCTCCATCCTTGCTGCTTGGTACACTAATGTGATGGAAGGAACTCAAGCAGCCACCCTCCTTCATAATGATGAAGACCACACTCTAAGGAGCCAAAAGTTGCCTGAGCCCCTATAGCAAGTTTGGTAGAGTCACCCCTACCAGCTTTAGACCGCTGACTCCAGACTTGTGGAACAGAATAGCCAGCAACAGACCTCTACTGTATAGGCCACCCTTATGTTGAGGTACTTACTCTGGCAAATGAAGTTGATCTAATCCTAATTTGTAAAGAATCAGATAAGCCTGGCTTCAAATCTCATTTATGCCACTTGTGGGTGACTTGTCTTTAGATAGCTTATTTAATCGCTTTGTTATAAGGCTGCCCCAGAGACAAATGAGACTGCATCAATAACTCGCCTGGTGTCTGGAACCAGGGAAGCACTCAACAAATGCACACATCCTCTTTTCCAGTCAAGTTTTAAGTCAACAGGTTTCAAGTTAACAACCTTCTCAGACTAAGCCCCATCAGAGGTAGTGAGTGTGACATTTGGCCAAGTGAGCAAGCCAGTCCTGTCTCAGAGCAGCTTACTTCCTGGTGGGTATCAGCACGGGCGTCAGAGACCAGGGCTGCTCTGTCCGATTCTGCTGAAGTCCTGAGGTTTATCTGAAGGAGCTGACTGCCGGCCAAGGCTCTTCAATCTCTGTGAAATTTTTACCCGGGGCCTAAGCAAGGATGAGATGGGACTGTGACATTTCCTAAACAAATGTGGGTCTAGTGCATGAAGGATATAAATCCATACTTACCTCATCGTTCTGGAGATATGAGGCCCTAAGTCCCCAGGCTCCTTGGAGACCTGCCTCACATTCATTTTACAGTGTATATCCAAATGAAACTAAACCACGTGGAAATTTGACTGCAAGATAACTGTCAAAATGGTCGTTATTTTTGGATGAAACCCTACTTGCTAACAGTTCACTGTTCAGCTGGCTGTCGGAACAGGCCCGCTTAGCCTTGGACAGATAAGATGTCCAGCCGCCAGGGGCCTGGGTGAGAAGCCAGCAGGGCCTTCGTGATGGCCTCTCCTGGTGGTTCCTCCCAGGCTATGTGGATAGATGTTTCTCCTAG